CGCCTCGCGCTGCCCCGCGCCCAGGCGCTCCCGCCGCCCCGCACCGGCGTCTGGCTGCGCGGCCGCAAGATCTGCGCCATCGGTGAGTGCTGGGGCCGCGTCCCGCCTGGCTCTGCGCCCCGGTGCAGGCCCGGCCTCCTGGGCCCCGCGCGGCCTCTTACAAGGAACAGCGGGGCCCGTTGCAAGGGGTGACAGGGCCCCGTATCCCCGGCTGCAAGGCCCTGTGTGTCCTGGTACAGAGCCAGGCCGGGCCCCGTGTCCCTGCTTGCTGTGTGCCCTGGGGCCAGGAGTTGCAAGGCCCTGTGTGCCCCGTTGCCAGGGATGACACGGCCCCATATACCTGGTTGCAAGGTCCTGTGTGTCCTGTTACAAGGCAGGGCAGGGCCCCGTGTGCCCCATTGCAAGGGCCTGTGTGCCCCATTACAAGGGACAGCAGGGCCCCACATACCTGGTTGCTGTGTGCCCTGTTACAAGGGACAGCAGGGCCCCATAGACGCAATTGCGAGGCCCTGTGTGGCCTTTTACAAGGCAGAGCCAGGCCCTGTGTATCTGCTTGCTGTGTGCCCCATTACAAGGGACAGCAGGGCCCTATGTATCCGGTTGCAAGGGCCTGTGTGTCCTATTACAAGGCGCGGCAGGGTCCCGTGTGCCTGGTTGCTGTATGCCCCATTACAAGGGATTGCTGGGCCCCATGTACCCGGTTGCAAGGCCCTGTGTGCCCCATTACAAGGGACAGCAGGGCCCTATGTACCCGGTTGCAAGGGCCTGTGTGTGTGTGTCCTTTTACAAGGGACAGCAGCACCTCGTGTGCCTGGTTGCAAGGCCCCGTGTGCTCTGTTACAAGGCACGGCAGGGCCCCGCATACCTGGTTGCTTGGTGCCCCATTAACAAGGCACAACAGGGCCCTGTGTCCCTGCTTGCTGTGTGCTCCGTTGCAAGGCCCTGTGTGCCCTCTTACAAGGGACAGCAGGGCCCTGTGTACCTGCTTGCTGTGTGCCCCATTACAAGGGACAGCAGGGCCCCACATACCCAGTTGCAAGGCCCTGTGTACCCCATTACAAGGGACAGCAGGGTCCCACATACCTAGTTGCTGTGTGCCCCATTACAAGGGCTGGCAGGGCCCCATATACCTGGATGCAGCGCCCTGTGTGCCATGTTACAAGGGATGGCAGGGCCCCATGTACCCAGTTGCAAGGGCCCCGGGGGTGGGGCAGGGGCAGGGCAAGAGGCTGTGGGGGTTAGGTCCGTGCTGGCGCTTGGGCAGTGGTGCTGTGGGGTGGCCATGGGGAGCGGGTGATTCTGAGTGCAGGATCGAGGCCGCTGGCTGGGCCTGGCCTGCACCCCAAGGGCTTCCCGGGTCAGTCGGGTCCGGGGCATGTGCTGAGGGGGGTTCCCAGTGCCATGGCTAAGCACTGTAAATCCCTGTGTTGCTGTGCCCAGTCGGCTGGTGCTGGGGATGAGCCATGTGTGGGCTGCGCCTCTGCTAACCCGCCTTTCCCCCTGGAGAGTTTGCACCCTGTTGGTCCTGGTGCCAACTTAGAGGGACTGCCAGGTGCGGCTGCCTGGGTTCGGAGGGAGAAGAAGGGCCCCCATTCCCAAGTGTCTGGGTGGTTGCACCGGCTTCTGCAGATGCAGCTTGTTCTCGCAGGAGGAGTGGGCAGGACAAGGTGGTAGGAGGCCTGGGTTCAGGTCTGCGAGGCCTAGCAGGTATAATAGAGGCTGGAGAGAGGTCTAATCTCAGCTCTGCCTCCAGTGCCCTGGGTGACTGTGAGAAAGTTGCCCGGTCTCTCTGTGTGCCTCAGTTTTCCCATCTGTAAAATGGCAACAGCGATCCCGGCACTCTTTCTCATGTACCGTGAGACCCAGCTCTTCGCCAGGAGGTGCTGTTAGTGAGGTGAAGCCAGGCAACCGCTCTGTGGTGTTGGTATAAACTGCATCGCCCTTCAGGTTTGCTCATGTCGCTCTAGACCAACCCTTCCTCATGTAGACAGAGCTGCAGACCAGGCCTGTAAACACCTTGGGTTTTCCTCACATGCCGTCGTGTGACAGATCCATGGAAAAGAGCCTGGAGAATAGCATGGGGTCGTTGCAAAACTAAAACGATACGAAATGTAGTCAGTGCACTGAAATCATGGGAAATTCCCCCTAATCTCATTCTGTTTTTATAACCATTACTTGTGGCAGTGACTGAAGCGGCACATCTGTGTGCAATGATCCCGGGGAGATTTATGCACGTTACTCACCAGAGAAACCTATTCAAATTGCTTGGATTAGCAGAGCGGGTACAGTGATGAGCATGTGCAAGTCTTAGCAGGATCCGGGCCTTAGCCAGAAGTACCTTTATAGTTCATTAACTAATATATATTTTTTTTTAATCAGTGGCGTATCTCTTTCTTATTTGGGGAAAACTTCTACTCCTAAAAAACTCTGTGCAAGCCCTCCCTTTATGAGAACACCACTGTAAATGTAGGAAAACGTGGAAAAAATTAAGATCATACCCATCTTTAACACCAGCATTTAATCCTCATCATTGATTCAGAAGCTTAAATATTTAGGAACACATTAGGCATAATAAAATGTGGACAGTTATTCAAAGACAGTTTCAATCCTTTGGAGAAATATGTGTCTCGGGTGACAGTAACATCCCATTTTCCCGTGCAGTTGAGACACTTTTCGACACGTGCTCGAAGAAAGGTAAACTCAGAATTTGAGGAACTATTAGTTACACCTAGGAAACACACAGGCCTGTTATCTGTGTTATATGAAGCAACTTTAGATTGCCATATGGGGGGAGGTAAACCCATTTTTTATGACAAAATGGGCTGTTGGCATCGGTTCAGAAGTCAGCACTGAGGAATGGGAGACTGGACCAAGGGGCCTCACGTACCCACCTGCGTAACAATAAAATAAAATCATTGTAAAATTCTGTAGGATTGGGGCTGTGTCCATCCTGCTCTCCCGTGTCCTCCTCCCCACCAGGATCCAGGGCTGTCTGTGGCCAGGATTTGCATGGTTCCTCCCCGGGACTGTGCGCCGGGGCTGTGAACCTCGGCCTGCACAGCAAAGCTGATGCCCAGACTGCCGTGCAGAGCGGGTGCTGTGGGTCTGAGGATTTCCAGTCTGGTAGCCCCAGCGAAGAGAACTTGTCTGTGTCCATCATTCATGTTGTCCTCTTAGAGGAGGCAGCTCTCTGATCAGCACGACCTACGCTGGCTACAGCCGAGCGACCTGCATGCACAGGGAGCTGCTGGCACAGCAGCCTCCCTAAGGGTGTGATTTCTTTCGCACCCCTGACTGCCACGGCTACGTTAGCAAAGCTCTGGAGTATAGACCTAGCCTGTGCTGGGACCTGTTGGCTTTCTGCGGGGTTGCTCCCAGACTAACAGGTATCATTTGCTTTCCAGGCGTCCACTGCGGAAGGCACGTGACCTCTCACGGCCTGGCTCTGAACTGCTGCACAGACCTCAGGTGGTTCGACCACATTGTTCCTTGTGGACTGGAAGGGCTGGGAGTCACCTCCCTGAGCGAGGAGCTCCAGAGGCATGTCACAGTGGACGAAATCCTAGAGCCTTTCCTGGACGCCTTTCAGGAGGCGTTTCAGTGCACGCTGACGTTCCCCGAAGAGCCCGTGGGCTTGCCCCCCTGGGTGGAAGAAACATGAACGCGCCCGGGCGCCTCCTGGAAATCTGGCTGGAAACTTTGTATGTCTTGCTTCGGACGACGTATTTAAAAATGGACCTTTAAATATATATTATATGAAGATGCTGGGTATGTGATCTTGGCCGTGTTATTTCAGCTCCTTGGGTCAAACCACATCTGGAACTGAGCAAATATAAAAGGGTCTGATTTCTCATCGCCGTAACCTCACCCTGCATCCTACCGATGGGGTACAGGGGCCCTGAAAGAGGTGCATATATCATAGATGCCAGCTATAGGAGGTAAAGATGCTATAGGGAACATGGTCCCGGGACTTTGCCAGCAATCTGTGCTGTGTCTGCGCTGGGGGGAAGCAGGGGAGGCAGGTGATGTGGGCCCAGCTGCTAGGATCCTGCTGTGCCTGGTTTGCAAAGGAAAAGGGATGGACTGGGAGAGTGGGGATGGGAGATGAAGCTACCAGGCAGGTGTCTCTCACCAGCACTAATTCACTCAAGATAGCAAGGCTAGGTTTGTATCCTTCAGGGCCTTGGTGATGGAGGAGCTAAGGCTCCTACTGTGGCTCCAGACGCATCACCCTCTAGATCATCCCAGACACATCCATCATGTAGATCATCCCACCCGGGTAGACAAAGCCTTGCCTGGGATGATGTAGTTGGGGCTGGTCCTGCTTGGAGCAGGGGGGTGGACTAGATGTGACCTCCTGAGGTCCCTTCAACCCTCATTTTTTATGATTGGATGAAACCCTTCGCCTTGCATCACGTCCTCTCCTAATATCTTTGGCAAATAACCATTTTTTTTATTTATTCGATTTATATGCTGCCTTTCCCCCCCACCAAAAGGCAACTGACAATAAAAGAAAAAATAAAGGAACAGATAGCATGTTACAGATGAGGATATAGAAGATGTATAATAAAAGGTCCCCAAACAGCGCTCCAGCTTAACCTGGCTTGATAAACACCTGCCCGTATATAAAGGTGCTAGAAGATGCTCCGGCTTGGGCTGGTGTGTGTGGGATAACTGATGCAGACACGTATTTGTTTGTCATCTGATTGACCCCTGTGAGCTCCCTCCTGGGCTCTCAGTGTCCTGTCATGACTTGGGGAAGCACTATTTTGACCCTGCCACCCTCCATCCAACAATCAGGGTCTTAGCAACTCTTGAGCCCTTATTATTATCTCTGGGGGGTTGTTCAGAGAAGCAAAAGGGCTATCCAAACCCTGAGGACAGATGCAGGGGGACAAGGCATGGGCAATGCATGCACCTTGGGGAGATTGAAGTCTAATTCTTGGCTCAGCCATGACCCTCTTTGGAGCCAAACCATGAGCAAATCCCTGGGGAGAGATTGTCAAAGGTCCAGGGGGTGTTTGGGCACCCAGGGAAGGTCCCTGGGGTGCAGGTGCACACCCCCTGCATGGGTCTTAGTCTCAGTGTCCTCACTTCTCTGCATGTACAAGAAGGGTGCAGTAATGGCTGGTAGACAGCCATTGGGTACAGTGGTTATGAGGCCCCTGAACAGGCCGAGGCTGCCCAGGTGAGGCCTGGCTCTTTGTAGCTGCTTATTCAGGCTGTCCTGCCTCAACCTGTGGGCCAATGTGGTTCCCATTTTCAAAAAAGGGAGGAAGGAGGACCCAGGAAACTATAGCCAGTTAGTCTTACCTCGATCCTGGGTAAGCTTTTTGAGAGAATTATCTAGGTGCACATCTGCGAGGGGCCGGCGGGGGAGGTTAGGCTTAGGGACAACCAACACGGGTTCATTCGAGGCAGGTCCTGTCAGACCAACCTGGTGGCCTTCTACGACCAGGTCACAAAATCCTTGGATGCAGGGGTAGCAGTGGACGTAGTCTTTCTGGACTTCAGGAAGGCCTTCGACACTGTCTCTCACCCCATTCTCATTAAAAAACTAGGGGACTGTAGTGTCGACACCTACACAGTCAGATGGGTCACTAACTGGCTGGAGGGCCGCACCCAGAGAGTGGTGGTGGACGGGTCATTTTTGACCTGGAGGGATGTGGGCAGTGGGGTCCCCAGGGCTCGGTCCTCGGACCCGCCCTGTTCAACATCTTCATCAGTGACTTGGA